ACCTCATGGCTTTTTTTTAACATTACTGTACTCCTTCTCTCCCATGCCAGGGTTTGCTTCAGAAACAAAGGGAGCTGGAGACCGGCTTGATGCCTGATGTGTAAGATGATGGACCAGACAGCTCTCCGGCTGTCCATTATATAATGTAGAGATGTGTTTGTGGATATTTGTTAAATTATATATAGAACGCACTGTTAAATTATCAATGTGTTTGCGGTTGTGTCTATTTATCAGACCTCATCGGAGTATTTGTCAATTTTGTAGCTTGTTTTTGATAAATTAAATCTATTTTTAATATATTTTAAAATGGCTTTTTTTTTCTATATACATAAAAGTTCCTTCGTGTTCCAGTATAGACATTATATACTATTTCGGGCGTAGGGCGTTTTCAAGCACGTCAAAATGTGCTGCAATACGCCCAGGTGGGAACCGTGCCCATAGGAATTCACTGCTTGAGCGTTTTTCAGCGCTGAAAAACAGCCAGGTATGAACCCAGCCTAAGTAAGCCATTGCCAAAATAAGAAAGAGGCTTGACTGGGCCATGAAGCACCACCAGTGGACTCCTGAAGATGGTCTTGTATAGACTAATAAATCGGCATGCAAGATCTTCCATTCATCACACAGGGTTTTTGTATGCCATCGAGTAAACATGGAGGAGGAAGCGTGATGGTCTGGGGCTCTTTTGCTGGATCTAGTCAGCGACTTGCACAGCGTGAGTGGCATCCTGAACCAAAACTACTAGCACAGCATTTTGCAGCGCCATGCAATACCCTCTGCTGTGTGCCTAGTTGGTTACGGGTTTATCCTTCAGCAAGATAATGACCCAAAACATGCTTCCAGGCTGTGTCAGAACTACCTTAGAAGAAAAGAACAAGTACAAGCAGTCTCCAGATTTAAACACCATCAAGCTGTTTGAGATGAGCTGGCCAGAAGGGTGAAAAAAGCAACCTACAAGTGCAACACATTGGTGGGAGCATCTGCAACATTATTGGGAAGAACTTTCCAAACAATATTTGACTTCATTTGTAGAAATGCCACAAATGTTTGACTGTTAAAGTAGACAAACGTTTGCAGATGGTCAAAAAATTGATTACATTTTGTTAATGATTCAATAATTTTTTTGGATGTCCAATTTTTTCTTTGTTCTAGGCTTTATTTTCAGAGTACATTGAGACATTACAAATGTCAAGAAAAACAGGGGGTGTTCTAAACGTTTGACCACTAGTGTGCGTTGGCCGCTCTTGCTGACTTGTGAAAATAGTAGCTGTCTAGTGGTTATGTGGCATCAGTGATCCAGGTTGCAGATCATGTGGGCTCTGGCTTACTTGACTGTATGCTTGTTCATCATAAACCATCAGGAAGAAATCATATGTCTCACTGTGGCAAGACGGTTCAGATTGTGCCCTGATCAGATTGTTAAGTTCCTGCTTTTTCTGCCAATTGGCAGACAGACTTCCTCAGCTGTGCATGTCTGGGGCAGTGGTCCGAATCCCAGGAGGTCTTCCAGGTCCTGTTTTTGCAGGTGGGGGGCACTGACTAGGGACCTCTGGCATCCATCTTTAAAAGGAGAACTAGGTGAGTGCTTTTCACTCACCTCATAGTTCTAGCCGACCTGTGACAATGAGACCGTCACCGGTCGGCTCAGTAGATCGGGAGGTGAGCGAACCCATATCGGCGTTCGCTCACTTCTCGATCCTGTCACGGCTCTCTGCCGTGACAGGGGGAGGGGCTGGATTCTCCCCTCCCCACTCCGCCAGCGCTGACTGGCAGAACGGACGGGGGAGGGGGTGGGTACAGCTGGCTCTGCCTCTAGATAGGCAATGCCAGCTGTCACTCACACAGCTGGGCGGATCCCGGCATAAATGTCGGAATCCGCTTCAGCGTCTCAGTATACTGCGAGCTACAGCTCGCAGTATACTGAGTCTAGGGTGACGGGAGGTCGCTAGTTTGTGTCCTCCCGTCACCCTAAGGAGAACTATGGGGAAAAACACTGACCCCATAGTTCTCCTTTAATGACAACCTGGATAGCTTACCAGGTACCAGCATCCTCTAGATCAGTGGCTCTAAACCTGTCTAACCTCAGGATCCACATTTGTCCTTGGTCATTAAGTCGTGACCCAAGTTGCACTGCAATGGAATGCATGGCATTGGGGTATCGCACATTCCGCTGTGGGTGGGAGGTGATGAATGTCAACGCAATGCACTTCCTGCACCAGAATGCATAGGTGTGATTATAGTGCGTTAATGGTACAGGACTGTTCAATTAGCACACTGTACTAACGTGAACACACACACACACACACACACACACACACACACACACACACACACACTCCCTACCTCCAAAGAACTGGGGTCCAGTGTGGGCTGCTGTGCTGGAACTCCATCCATACATAGCTTGTACAGCTACCTTGTGGGCCCTGTAGAGGTGTCGGGAGCCAGAATGTGCCGTCACTTCTACAGGGTATGCGAGGGAGCAGTAAGCAATGCGCATGAATATGTGGATCTCCCTCACGGCTTCCGCTCCAGCATACCCCACCTTAAGCGGACACTCGGCAGCATATTTTGAATGGCTGCTTTGCATGAGACAGTGCTGTGCTAGGGGGAGGCTGAGAATTCTCTCACCTAGAAAAGTGTAAAGCAAGCAGCGACCCAGCTCTTCTGGCAGTACTTTGTTTCAGAGACTGTTGGTCTCTCACTACTTAATTTAGACCTTGGTACAGAGTCCGCCATGCAGAGAGACTGCCTCCTACAAATTGAATGTTAAAAATGAATGCTAAAAACTGGATGGCTATTGCAAGAGTGTATACAAGCAAGTTAATTCAATGTTCAAAGAACTGCTTAGGTATTAATTCTGTCATACCAAATACAAACATATACAAAGTCAAAGCATAAAACATGTTTGGATAGCATTTTAATGCAATGGGTCATTATACAGTGGGCAGAATAAACTGACAGTCGCAGTTAACCTTGACCACATATAGACATGATCCATGCTTCAAGTGGAAACAATGTTAATGTTAGCTAGGCACACACATTTTATTATAAAAAGACTGTTCAGGTAATTGTCTCCCATGCCTTAAAATCTCACATAATGTTTCAGATAGAAAATATTGAGGTAACTATTTCAAGTTATATAAAGGTCATAAAAATTAATAAAACACATATGTACAACTGTTTTCAGTCAAGGCCAAAATACTGTTAAAATCCCCCCAGAAAATAGGATTTTTATACTCACCGTAAAATCCTTTTTTTTTTGGAATTGAGGGACACCTGAAGTCTTAACCTTTGGGTTATACTGCCATCAACAGGTGGATTGCACACTGGCAAACAAAAAAAACTGTCATCAGCCCAGGATAACCCCTCCTATTACCAGTATGCTTCCATGATGTAGCAAAGCAGTACAGAGAGCATGCACTTTTGTACAAAATCTTCCCCAAATGGGTACAAGGCTAATACTTGCTTGGGGAAGCAAACAGCTCTTCATAGAGAAAGCATTGGAACAGAGGGTGCAATAGAAAAGTATTTGCAGTCTTTTAAAGACCATAGACTGAAACTAGAGGATCAGTCAGTTGACTGTGCCGTTTCCAAAGTGGTGTGCATCACATAGATGAGAACCAAAATAGTCTCTCAATTTGGGAGTAATAGAAATGGACTGCTGCGACGACTCAGAGGCGAGCTGGAGTAACTCTGTATCAGAGTCTCAACAATCGATGGCTCAGAAGCCTCCATGGCCACACGGAAATCAGATATACAATCTGGAGCAGAAGCATGCTTGTGGCCTCTGCTGCAAGAGTCGGCAAATAACTTGGTGATTTGGGCCATGAAATCTTCTATGACTGTACTAAAAAGGGCCAAGCAAACAGCCACAGCCACAGAGCTGAAAGAGGAATCCGATGATAAAACAGACTGTAGCCGCAGAGCTCAAAATGACTCCAGATGTCGGCACCAGCAGGAGGGCATGCTGCAAGCAGCCACTAGAACTGTTTTAGAGTGTAAGCTGGGGGCCACCCATTAAGCTGGGGGCCACCCATTACAGGACTGTTCTATGCATCTAGACTCACAGTGTGCGTGTGCAGGGGGCTGTAAAGTAATGTAATACTCAGGGTAAGAGGCAAGACCTCAGTTACTCATGAAACCCAGTTAGCTGGTAGCACGAGAATTTTGGATGGCTAGAGGTGACCTAACTCACTGTAGTCAAGGGGCAGTAGGAATGGATTAAAGTTCCATGTGTATTTACAAGCAGGAGCAGCAACATGGAGATGCTTTCTTAATGTAGTTTGGTGGAAAGAGCGTGGAACGCATGTGACAATCCATCCAGTGGATGACATGAGCACTTAAGTACCAGTACCACTGTTAACCCTTTCATGGCGGTTTCCAGGAGGGAAATGGTGTTTTAAAAGGCACCCGGCTAACAAAGTAATTGTGAGCAGGCCGGCTGAATGACCAGCAAGGAGCTACAGCTAAGTGAGTCTTCAGAGACAGGGCAAGCGCTGAAGCAATGCCAATAGACCTGGAAAGCACTCCGTGGGGAACACAGTGCCCAAAGGTCACTTCCAGAATGACCACCCCCAATGTCTGGATATGGCAATTCAAAAGCCAAGGTGGGGACAGCCGTGCCAGATAGCTGCAATCTAAGAGACAAGCTCTAGCAGCAAAGTAGATTAGAGCCTTGATTGAAGAAAAAAAAAAAAAAAATGTGCAAGCAAAAATCGGTTAGTCCATCCTAGGACACTAGTAATTTGCGGCATGCTGGTGATGGAAGAGGGTCATCTGGGGCTGGCCTACAGTGTTGTTTGCCAATCCTCCCCTAGGTGCAGTATAACCTCAAGGTTAAGACTTCCTGTGTCCCTCAGTAAATGAGAAAGTGCAAACCTTTTATACAATTACATGAAAGAAAGAATATTCATTGTACGTCATGAGTCCAGAAAGAGACAAGGTCTTTAAATATAATAAAATGTGTCTTTTACTTTGTATAAGAAACAAAAACAGAATCTTACAAAAATGTCAGATATATAAATATTTCAGGTACATTACAAGAAAAAAAAACCAAAAACATTATTTTACATTCCACTTTTGATCCCACTCAGAGCCAGATGAGGTCTCTTGATCCGATGACTGGCCGTAGGAATTGATGAAAAAGCTTTCCACAGGTGTCTGGTTACGGTATACCATTGATCCAAGAAATGTTTGATGAGTTAACAGGTTGAAATGTGAAATAGCCAATGGCCTTTTATCATAGTCATTAAAATTACTGGACGAATCCTCAGCCGGGTTGCCATTATCACCGGTGGTAGAGCCAGCTGTCGATACTGAAGTTACAGGTTGCATGAACTCTGGGTCAATGGGGGTCTTTTTTGATTCCTCCGTTTGAGAATAATTTACAACCTCCAACTTGTTCACAGTTCTGTCCATTTGAGGTTCTTGATCCATGTTGTGTGTGCATACTTCAATCTGTGGCATCTCGTCCTCTGAATCTAAAGACATGTCTTCCTCTAGATCAGCTTCACTGATAGCTGCATTGCAAAGAGAAGCCAAGTATAACTATAAAATTATACTCACTCCTGCCGCTTTTTTCATATTCAACATGCACTGGAAAAATTCATCTTCTATCACAGTGGTGGCGTGATCGTCCTTTTGGGTAGAAGTTGGGATTTTTAGGAGACAGGGGGGGAGAAACAACATTAGTTCATTGGGAAATCCCAACTAGCATGCCAAAGGCTAGACATACCAGAGTTTTGCTTCTGGCAGTTACAAAAGGAAGCAGAAGGCAAGCTGAGAAAAAGGCTTTGCCCAATCAGACCAAAGAATAAAAAACACACCTATAGGGATTGCCAAAAGTTACTGCAGTATAATATTGCATTGGATGTTAATTGAACAAAAACGAACAGCCACACTGAATTTTCAATAGCAAGTGCAGACCATGTTTGCCAATTAAATTTGGTTATGGCAGATTGGTAAATTAGTAGAGTTAGTTGACTTGTTACTTTCCCAATGACCTAAAGACCAATGAACCCAAATGCAAGCTGACCCATTATGATCCCTAAGAAATGTATATAATGCTGTATGATAAAAACCTGGGGCCACTATAAAAGTGATGGAATGATTCATAATTTCAAGATAAATATCTGGTGTGCAGGTTTCCATAACAAGCTGAGTTTTGTTTGTTACGCAGGTCTATAGAAGAGGCAGAGAGCACAAGTATTGTTCTATGACCAGGCTGTTTGCGGTTCTTTATTCTTCCTGCACTACAACTGCTGCCTGCTTGGCTGCTAACCAGGCAGTCCAGACAGGAGCCCTGCAGCCAGAAAGCAATGTTTTCATCCGATCTTCCTGTAGCAACTGCTCACAGCCACCATAAGATGAAGCAGAAAAGAGAATACACATGTAATAGGATCAATGAGCAGTCTGTCTTTTTCACCACCGGGAGTGAAAATAGTTATTTAAATAACATTTTCAACATGTTGGAAAAGTTTAAGCAGCACCTTCCACCCGTCTATACAAGTTACAGGGATCTTATTTACGCAGTACATTTCCAGTAACTGCAGAGCTGCTATTGATAATTCTACACACATGACAAATGCATGCTCAAGGGCCCATTCACACCCCATGCAGCAGATCATCTCCAGACCAGACCGTTTCTGGACCCAAAATGCATCCTAATGTATCCCTATGCTATTTCTGACCTCTGTTCACACCAGCGCAATCTGTTCCAGACCAGAAATATACTGCTCGTCTCATTTTGTCTGGTCTGGAATGCACTGGAACTGCCGGCAGGTTCACACCATTTTCCAGACCAGATCTGGTCCTTAAACAGCTAAACGGGAAAACAAAATGAGGAAGAGCAGCAAGAAAGTTCTGCACAACTCAGCCGATTACTGCAGTAATAATGGTCACCATCAGATAAATGGAATCACATTCCCAGTCCAGGGCTATGACCAAGTGCTACATATTGATATGTAAATGTTTTTTAAAAAAAAGGTTACTGCCAACAGTCCAAAGTCCAAATCAAAATTAAGGGGCCATCTCTACAGCAGCAGAATGTATCTACAGAAATATTTCAAGTTGTGTGCACTGTTTCCAAGCTGCTGCAGTAGCAAAACGTTGGGATCTCTTTAATTGCATGTTAGGAATCGTATCACACTGCATTATGTCATGGTTAGATGCAATTATGTAGCCAATCATTTCCTTCTACCAACAAATTATTTTTTTTCTACTTCCAGACATTGCATCCAAAGTCACATGCCAAGCTAAAGATTTTCTAATTGGTTTATGTCTAATGCATGCTGAAGCAATCCCTTGAAACTGGTGCAGGATTTTAATTTTTAGAGCAGCTTGCATTTTGGTCCAATTGTTTACATCAAAGTTTTAATGTAAATAAAAACATTATAGCAAAAAGATTAAAGAAGAACTCTGGTCTAAACAATAAACATCCATATGCTCTTAGGTCATATTTATCTCTCTGAAATACAACCGAGTAACAAATCTGTCACAAGTTATCTGGCCCCCTAAACCACCCACCACCATTTGTCTATGTTTAGATGACAGTATTGCTAGTAAAGTTCTTCTTTAATATTATAATTATATACAAGGATATGCAAAGTTACACAGAACACAATACCTTTCTGGTTCTCTTGGTTTACCAGCTGTGCTAAGCAATGCTCTTCATTGCTGGAGTTATGGTGACCAACAAGGTTTGTAAAATTATTCATGAACTCCTCCACTCTTGTCACCAGAATTCCATTTTCAGCATGACTGGTAAACAACGATTTATCCTTTTCTGCAAAAGAGAGACAAATGTAAATGCATGATTGTTGTGCAGTAGTCTAGACCAGTGGTCCCCCAACCCCCGGACCGGTACCGGTCCACGGGGCCCCGCACTGCCGACGGGCTTCACAGTGAGGGGGTGGGTCCTGTGAATCACCTCCCCTCCCGGCCGCGTCCATAGTAACAGGCGGTGGGAGGGGAGGCGAGTCACAGGAGACGTGTGTGTCACAAGCCCCGCCCCCTGCAGTGAGTGCACACAACTCCCTGGCTGGGTAAGTCCGAGCGCAAGAGGGGGGAGAGGAGGCAGCAGCAGCTGGGCTATCTCGTCCAGTTTTTCGGTGGTGGAATAGGTGAAGAATTCCAACGCTTTCATTTTTTGGTGTAACTATTTTATTTTGAAGGCATGTTTAAATACAATTAAATTAAAATTATTAAATCAAAACAATCTAAAATATAAACAATCAACGCCCCCCCCATCAGCAGGCCACGGTAAAATTATGAAACGTTGACCGGTCCGCGGCGATAAAAAGGTTGGGGAGCACTGGTCTAGACCATGAATGACAAATGTGTGAGAAGATTTACCTGTCAGGAATATTAGATGCCTCTGCTGTATGTTCTGAGCCTGAAGTCTGACCAGACAGTCCAGTTCCGGAGCTTGTCTGGTCTGAGAATCGCAATTATGATAAGCAAGGATCTCCACCAGATGCTTCTTTTGATAGGCGTTTAGGAGTGTCAATATATTCAGGGCAGCTTTGTTTAACCTGAAAAAGGAAAATAATGGAAAACATATCAATGTGCGTCACTGTGTACGAAGGTCCTTATCGGGTGTCCATGTTGCTGCCTGCTGGTGGACACCTGAGGCAGGGTCCTCTCTGGTCCTGAAGACTCCCCTGGCAGCTTAGTGACATGACAAGGAGCAGCAACAAGAGTTGGTCTGGACTGCAGCTCTCGTTCACTGGTCCCCACAAGTGGAAGAAGCACTGGCAAAGATTTATTTATTTTTTCCTCATCGATGGGTTTTAGTTTGACCTTCTAATGGGTCCAACTTGTATACAAAATGTAGCAGCTGAAGAAGGTTAACAGCAATGCCCAATGTAGCCTGCCACCTCTTCTATCAGAGACCACTCACCTCCCTAATTCCTTCAGTTTCTTCTGAAATTTGCAATGGATCTTCCATTGCCATTTTCCATCCGGACTGTCAATTTGCTCCAGGAACATCAAGAATTTTTTCAGTACATCTATAAATATAAAGAATGAAGTGTTATAGGGTGACTACTCCTAAAAAACCTGTTGTGTCACACTAATGCTGGGCGGGATTACAGCTTGCCTCCCTCGAGCCTTAAAAAAGGTTGTTCTGAAAGAATATGAAAGCAGCCATTGCAGACTTCTTTTGAGAATGCTAGTTACCTGGCCATCACGATGATACAATGACTTTAGTACTTTGAAATCAGAAATCCTGGCCTGCATATTTCTCAGGTCAGTACCTCACTGACTTTTTTTTAGAATCTATTAAAGCCAGGCAACTAGGATTCTTCTAAAGTCATCTATGGCAGCCCTTGTGTTTCTCAGCGCAGTTGATAAAAGTTCCTATGAAAATATTGACTGAGTTTGACTGAGTTTAAATTTGCATAGGCACAAGCCCATGCATCACTTATGTCAATATTAACATGCCAGGCAGTAGGTCTCTAGGCACCAAATACTGCATTGAGGGATTCAGGAGGGAGCAGGTCTTCTCACCATACC